CGTAAAACTAAACTTACTCACACATAAATCAAGCAAGGCCTACTTAAATATGTTCGAACACATTACATTCTTGTATATTCTTTAAAAATCAAATTCCGTGTAAATGTAATATGAACCAATCACAGGCATTGGGTAAGACGATTGGTTACTACGTTCGGTCATCCCGCCCAATGCTTTGGTTCGAGTTAGAGGCGACTAATAGGATCGGGTGGTCAGGCTCGCTGACTTGGTTGACACATGTCATCGGTTCCCAAATGCAGAGATCGATGCCCATGCTGTTGATTACTGGATTGTCTGGTCCAGACTCGATTATTTACAGACCGCCGCCATTTAGCTGGAATATTGCTGAGTGCGGCATAAAACTAAACTCATTCACTCACTCACTCACTATGGTTCGAATCCTCAAATGGGTACAGAAAGTAGTGCCCACGACGGTGTCCTTCGCTGTGATATTGCTAGAATATCGTCAAAGGCGATATGAAACTATATTCATTCAGCCAATGGCTTGAACAATAACTTTGTTGATTCAGTCATGTCTGTGGCGAGTTATATAAGGTATAAAAGTCCGATAAAATATCATCTTGGTTGGTCTTTTCAATTCCAATTACCAATTGTTGCTTCTGATGAAAGTTCGTCGAAACCTGTCCTACATGTACAAAGTTCAATGAAGAGGCGCCTGCATTTATGGTCACAGTGGTTGCTGAGAATGAATAATCCATGTTCATAACGGCCACTTAATTTCTTTAACATAGCTATTCCTTCATGTCATCCATTATTAACTGTGGAGTAAATGGGGCTGTATTTAGCTTTGTTTCAATAGTATACATGTTTTCGTTGTTATAAAGGGGCGGTGGGGTAGCCTAGTGGTTAAAGCGTTGGCTCGTCACGCCGAAGATCCGGGTTCGAATCCCCACATGGGTACAATGTGTGAAGCCCATTTCTGGTTTCCCCCGCCGTGATGTTGCTGGAATATTGCTAAAAGCGGCGTAAAACCAAACTCAGTCAGTCAGTCGTTGTTATAAAACATTTGCGTGCAGGACGAAATGTAACCTTTGATTTGTGCGTATTTAGTCGTACTATTTTTAGTGTCCACACCAGGAACATGAAGGTAAGTGGGACATACGTGATCGTGTCGCTGAGCAATCAACAAGGACGTCCTAGCCTAGATCATGGGGTTATTGATTTGTTATTAACGTTCAATACAAAGCCACAAATCTACAGATGTATAGATAAGGCGATACCATTTTCATTGGTCCCGTTAGATCTAAAAAGAAACCAATAGCTGGATAGAAAAATCTACATAACCGATCCCCTCACCTTGGTATCACTGACGGCGAAATATACTCATGGAACTGAATTAAGCGTCCTCATGTTTTAGAACAGTGATATGAACAGAAACGTGTCAGAACTTTCATAATTCCAGAAGGGCAGTAATCTCTGATCATCTGATCGAAGATCGAATAATTGACTGCAGAGAAACAACAAAATGTGGGCAATATGTTAAATTGTATCTACTGATGTGCTTTCTAAATTCAGTGTAGTCTCACTTAACTGTTTCATCGTCATTGATATTTGCATCGACATGCTTTTTGTAGCATTTCATTGAACGGATCAAACTAGTGCAAATTCTACGCTCGACCTTTAGCAGTGATACACGAATAATCTCTATCCTTTCAGAAATTCAGATTCTCGTGAACTAATATCTTAAGAAGTCTCGCAGAAACTGATATGGGTATCCCTTATGTCAGTCAGGTTCTAGAGAGAAATCAGCTCCAGAAATAGCCTCAGTCCTTCTTCGAATTCAAAGATAGTTACTGCGAAAACAACTACCCCCCACATTGCTTAAGCACGCTGGGATCAATAATCTTATGTGTCTAGAGCGTGTTGTCTCATTTGACATATGATCATATTGTCAGGTTGCCGGTCTCTTAAAGTTACACATACACCACTGTTCAATGGTATGTTACCGCCCCACTGTTCAAGGGTATGTTCCCGCCCCACTGTTCAAGGGTATGTTCCCGCCCCACTGTTCAATGGTATGTTCCCGCAATTTCGAAACCAACAGGGAGCGACAGACCTTCTGGCATGTAAAGTATTATTTCATGAACCAAACATGTATACTGTCAGTGTAGGCAATGTCGACCTCGATAATAAAATTATCATTGCAGACAGTGCAGGACAGTTTCGACACTTCACACATAAGGACATATTTGTTAACAGGTCACAATTAGTTATCATGGAATCAGTTGGACAGCTGACAGAAAACAGAGTTCTGTCGATAGGGCAGATAATCCTTGCAGAATTATCGCAAGTTATTGCGCAATAGAGATTTCTAAGATGGCCATGTCGTTTTCTATCACGCGATATCATACATGGAAAATAATATTTTGTCATTCTCATGTGGCAGGAAGTCAAATATATTTGTCCACAGGTATATTATTGAATATGCAAGTCAGTATTATCGGACCACCATCTCTGGATCACTCTACTCCTCTCCATTTGGTCGTGATGGGCAATGTTTCAACGTTTAATGACTGGATTATTGTGACCAATTTCTCCAACAGCAAATCATGCATGTTATGCTGCCATAGCTGCGATTGGTTCTGACCCTTTGCCCCACTGAACAAGAGTGGCATATTGAACAAGTGTGGCATGTCACTGGCAGACGTGTATTTCAACGTCAAAATCAACCTACCACTCAGAAAGGACTCCCCTCATATATGTGTGGAATGGACCTCTATAACCACCATTTCACCACCATAACATTAAAAATTAGATCTGATCGCCCACTCCCCAGCTGATGTAATCATATCATTTCCATTTGCGAGTACCATAATGATCAGAAAATATGTCTTGATGTTTTTCAACTTTCCCCTACTTTTTGGCACAGTATATATTTATACATCAAAGTGACCTTCTTTCCGTAGAGCTTCGCACGTGAAATACTTTATCCAATATAATATATACAAGCACTCCTTATAATTTAACAAGATGTGTCTTCACGATTGTGTCAAATTTGTCTAGGAGGAACCGGAGACTTGCGGAATTGAAATGTTAACTACAATCTCGTGGATATCCGACACTATTTGTGAAGATGGAATAGAGAATGCAAGAGCCACAGTTGAAAGGTCGCGATAAGTCACCAAAGTTGGAAAATAACGCGATGAAACACACACACACACACACGCACGCACGCACGCACGCACGCACGCACGCACGCACGCACTCACGCACTCACGCACTCACGCACGCACACACACACCGCGAAATCGGAGTTCAAACGATACACTAAGATAACCCCAGCTGGGGTGAGAAGTTGTGCAGCTGTGCTGCGCTGCGCTCATAGCGCATGCGCAGAAAATAGGTTCGCGCAGCTTGAAGCGGGATGCCCGGATTAAAAGGTCGTGGGCAGGAGTAGTTTCATCTTGGTTGTGTACACAAACAACAAATAGTAAATAATCTACACGTTACATAAAAGAACCTTGTTAAGGATCTAGATCTACTTAGCTATGTGTCAACCAGTGAGGCGTTCGACATTTCAAGACGGAAAACCTTCGCTGGCAGGGAATACTCGGAGTAGGCTTTGATGTTAGCTATTTTTCTAATGTTTTGTTGATATTTCACACGCGCGAACTTTTTATATGTTATGACAGTAGATTACCGATTTGGCTGTTTATATACTTTCATTTGTCTATTTCACGACACGTTCTTCTTACCGAGTCACTTTCTCAGTTCGATGCTTAATCAAACGTCATTATTTAGCATTGTAAGAATTTCTAACTGTAATATAGATATGCCTCTGTCACAGACAAAACTCAATGTCTATTTTATTGACACCTATGTGTCTGCCTGCCTGTCTCCTGAAGACAATATGCAATACACAACTTCGATCACTGACCACATGCTATTTGAACTTAACACCTATCGGGCTATACACCATAAACAAAACGCATTGATTTATGGCTCGTGCACCCTAGTTCTGTCTCTGTCACATTAATATAATTATACAGACAGGCAGGTGTGATACGTGTACGCATGACATGTAATGATGTCTGTTGATTGCAAAATGTTATACACAAAACATGGCCTTGTATTTACAAAACCCAGCATCTCTATACACACACAAAGAGACCTGAGTGTATCGGCAAATGAACAAGCCAATGGAAGTCTCTGTTACACTTAACTGCACGCCCACCCGCTCTGACAGGGTCCGGTATCCCGCCGGGTGCTTCGTTTCGAGGGAAGTATACCCAAGCACAAACCATTGCACTTTTGATTTGCGATTGTACGTTTATAAGTTTGTTTAATGCTTTTTTCATAAGCATCAATGTATATTATATGTCATGAATAAATGATAATTGTGTTTCAATTATGTATATTCGTTTTGGTTCGCTCCTAAGCTTTAAGGGACAGAGTGCTTTAAGGGACGTCCATAAACAACAGATAAAGGATCCCCAAAGAAGGTGCAGACCCTTAAGCGCTCACATCGATAAATGCGCAGCATCTATGGTAATAAGCAAATTCAAGATATTTCCTTTGTTCCGGTATGGATACAGCTGATACAATGCAGCATAAAACCCGAAGGAAACTCTGTCATGAACATGTTGTGTCCATCTTTGAATAGGTAAACGTGTATTTGAACTTTTTATTTACCATTGTAAATGCTACTATTGCCAATGTAAGCCGCTGTACCACTGTACCAATTTATAAATGATCGCAGTGATAGGTGTATATATAACAGAGGTGACGTTCAGAGCGAACGTCACCTCTTCTATACATAGACCTATCACTGCGATCATTTATAAAATTCAGTACATGTACTAATTAACATATAATTCTCAGTGTGTAACCTCGAATCACTTTGTACAATATGAACATAGCTTGTTCTTTATATGTTTTAGCTAGTTTGTCGCATTCTGTATGATCAGACTGCTGGCTTGAAAGGTCAGCTGACAGCGACTAACGGCATAGTTTGGTCTGCACACTGCAACACACAGTACTTGAAGCAAGTTGCAGCTTGTGTCTGTTGCTCCCCCAACCAGCTGTTTACACATGCTTGGTATATAAACGCTTGATTCAAACCCTTTTCTTGTCCGAGTTCCAATACAGTTTACCTGTCACCACATTGGACACGATCCATGGTACGTATACATTAAGCTTGCCTACCATTTAGTTTTAGGATATTACTTCATCTCAACAATGATTTTTTCTAGCTTTTGTCGGAAAGACCTTTTAGGTATTTAAAATTGTGGAAACTTTGTTGGAAAGAAATTTAGGTGAGTTGTAAAACTGTAGAAACTTTTCTCTTCGTGTACATATTCGCGTCTACTAAAAATGTATATAAATTATAGAATAAAAACGCAGTGACTTGTTTGAAATCTTGGAACCAGTGATGTTGCTACGACAAATGTTTTCTCACTTGCCTAATAACGGTGTAAGCATCTCCACTGAAATGTCGCATATATTGTCAAAAGGAAGTTGTATATCCACAGAACTGTCGCCCTTGTTCAGCTCACCAACATCTAAATTGCCACTCAAAGAAGTTAAATATTCGCTCCATGGTCATGTTTAAATATGTATGACTGGTCGCGTTTTTTATCTGAAGAAAAGCACATGGAGCTCTACCAAATTCAGTGTTTTCTGTTCGCTATATTAGTGAAAAAGTGGCCCACATTTCACGATACCACACACACACACACACACACAACAACAACAACAACAAGCAAAAAAAACACACCAACAACACACACAAAACACACACACACACACACACAAATCCCATTAAAGTCGCAACTTCATAGATGGCAGTGGTATTTTCACACCAGTGTGTTAAGTATCATGCGAGTTGTTTATGTTTCTTTCATGAGTATGTCCATCTACACATGTCATTTGTGATTACGGTTGTTTAAGTGTGCGTACCTATTACGTAATATCAATTGTGAAGATATGTTAGCGTCAATGTCAAAATGAGTAAATATGTACCTGCGGAATGTATTCGATTATGTAAGGATACTATTCCCCTGAAGCCGTGTTTAGCTAGTAGCTAGAGTAGCTAGAGGTACAGCACAGCTCTTACAGCGCAAAGTATGTTTTAAATCAACAGAAGCAGCACCGAAACGGTTATAACTAGCCGCTGTATTTTCTGCAATACATTTACAAAACACGTTCGTCTCGGCGTGTGTGATCTGTTATCAATATTGATAGATGAGTTCTCTTCGACAAAAACTTCCATACGTGTTTAACTCACTTTGTATTTTGTAGCGTATGTGGCCTATGTTACATGCACATAGTTAAATCAACCACCACTGCTATTCTTTATTGTTTTATCAGCGATTGTTTAGTTCTAATGGATTAAACTTTATTGCGGCAAACATAGAAATGGTGCTATGCGCTTATCTTCAAGTGTGACTCTCAGGTTTGGGGTTCCTTATATCAATGACCCATACATGACTCACACCAATCCCCGCCAAACACACAATCCCCTGTTAACACCCCCCATCCTCTCCCCCCATATGCAGTTATCTGAGCACCCCCACCCCCAGCCACCCCCAATCTAATGCACCTTTTCTGAATACACTTACCTGAGTTACAATCCGACCCATCTCTCCCCGAAACAGGTGTCTGCATAATCGGCGACGCACTTCAATTGCCCGTTATTTGTGAGGCAAAACATGTTCTGAGAAACAATACATTTCCCCTTGCACATTCAGATATGACTGATCAGTGACAATTTTTACAACAAAGCCTTAACGCAATCATATAGTAGTATACACTATGGGGCTACGGGACCAGGTCCCTCCCAAGGGCTCAATTTTATAAATTGAGCCCTTGGGAAGTCCCTAATCCCGTAGCCCCATAGTGTATACTTCTACTGAGGTGCATGCAAAATTTGATGAAAATCGGTAGAATAGTTTCTGAAATATTGACTTTTAAGTGAGCATGGGGACGGTTGGGAAAAAGGCTCGGGTCGCCTCGGGGGTGGTTGCTCCTCCGAGCGCTATGGGCGGACGAGTCGCAGTGCGTGTGCGTGTGTCTCTCTCGGCTTGGTGTACGGGTGGCTGGCTGGCTACATTAAGCTGAAAAATAAGCATGCAAGACCGATGAAAAATCATCACACGGTTGGTGATGTGTAAGGGACTGTGTCGTGAGGTACGATCATCAACTCCTCTCGGACGAATGCTCTCGGCGGCCCGTCTTTCAAGTAGTACAAGTTTGGTTCACCGTCTTTGATGTCGACCAGGTCGATGTTGTACGTTTTCATGGACCATATCGGATCGGTGGCGCGTTTTCTGCTGTCTCCCTCGTATTCGCCCGGCTGGTATAAGTACCTAACGCTGACACGGTCCTGTAATGTTTTCTCTGTTTTATCGCGGCGTGCCGCCTCTGGTGACGATTCGACTGATTTCATTTTGATGGCTTCAACGGGTCTTTTGCCCACGAGTCTGGTGACTTCGTTGTTGATGACATCCACCACTCGTGGTAAGCGTACAACCCATTCCGTGTTTCTGTTTCCGGGATCGATTAAATCCTGCAAGTATTGGTGCGAGAACAGGCGTTAGGCTAGGGTGCGATTGAATCTCTCAACGATGGCTTGGCTACGGTCTCGTCTCACTTGGACTTTGTGCTTGGCCAGCAGCTGTGTCATGGCTCCCATAAACTCGCGTCCGGGATCGACTTGCAATATGGTAGGCCATGTCAAGCGACTGTATTTGTATATGCGTTCAAAGGCTTTGACGACTTCGTTTGATTCTTTTGTTGTCAACGGTTCGGCTTCCTTGTAGCGACTGGCGACGTCGACGACGGTCAGGGCGTACTTGTAGGTTTTGTGCCTCACCCTGTCGTGAGATAGAAACAGGAGGTCGCCTTGGTGAAACGCGATTCTGCGTTGAAATGTCGTATTTTCTTCTCGGGATGTACCGAGGCGCCGGCAGGTAGACTTGCCAGATGGCTTGTTTTTTGAGTAAGGCTTTGGCTTTGTCTTCCGAGACTCGAGCGGCTTTGGCGAGTTTCGGGATGGCGTCCGCACCTTTCCAGTACCCTCGCGGGCTGTAATAAATTTTCTCCATGATATATGTACGCATGTGTGCGTAAGCTTTCAATTATTCGATAGGCGCGCGTGCGCGTGTGTGTGTCCGTACGCGTAAGTGGTGACTCCAACGATGGAGATCCATCGTTTCGTGTCCATGGGAGAGAGCGAGGTCTTGTTGATTCTCAGTCCGTATATCCTGTGTCCGTCGCTTCTCAGCATGTTCATTTGGTGTTTGAACATTTTGTTCTTGAACAGGGCTTCCTTGAATCTGGTGTGCTTGATGTGTTTTTTCACAACATGTTTTTTCATGCCTTTCGCCTTTCGGATATCGGCGACGGCGGCGGCTTTCTTGATGGAATACATCTTGGGTCTCAAGCCGACATACTCGGCGATCGGAGAGCCTGCGCATTCGTCCTTCATCTTGCCGATCACTTTTTTGTTGACTTGGCTGTGCATAGGGTGATCGCTGGTGTCGTAAAGGTGCATGTGTTTCTTCATGTCCTCAGTGCAAATTTCCATCAGCAGGGAATCCGTGTCCGTGTACAGCACTTCGCACCTGTCGCCATACTGCTTTTTCAGCTCGTTGTAGTAGAAATGGTACATCAAGTGTTTGGATAAGTCGAGGATGCTCATCCCCACGTAAACAGGCCAGTTGAATTTGATGTGGCTTTTGTTCATGTGCAGCGCTGCCAGGTCGTCGTCGAATATCTTGCTTCAGTTGAACGCCGGGCTGGCTATAAGTTTCCTGAGTTTTTCTTCCTCGCTGGATCTGACTAATTTCACGTTAACGCGTTTTCTCAAATTCTCCATCACCTTGACTAACACCGTGTTGTTCATGAGCTTGTACAAGTTTTTTTCGAAGTCGCTCGTGGCTTGTTTTCGAAGAATCGTGTTCAACCGAATATAAGGTTCCATCCATGGACTTTGATCGAACTGGAGCGCCCTGTGTATTTTCATTCCCAGCGACAAGTACAGCTGCAGATTGCGATAGTGAACGACGTATTTTGACTTGTTCATCAAGTTCGGCACGAGTTTTCAACGTTAGCCAGCTTGTTGTTTCCCTGCAAGTTTCGTTGATATTCAAACATCCAGTCTGGGTTCACCGTCAATCGTTAGGGAGCTAGCAGATAGCTGTTGTGTGATTCGTGTAGTTCTGCAGGATAGTCAAAGTCCACGTCGAGCACGTAGCCTTTGTTCGAATCCAGCGCGATGCTATTCACGTCAATCATCTCGGGTGAGGAGACCCATTCGAATCCCCCGTTGGGGAGATACTGACTCATGGCCCAGCCGTACAGGTTGTTGGCGTCGAGATAGAGTATGTGTTTGGTCGGTTTGCCGGGGTCGTGACCTGGAACATACTTGTTGTTGGCTTTGGTGTATCATTTGGAGGTCATGGAAATCCCGCCTCGCAAGCCTTTTTCCACGAACAGGTGCATGTCATAATCCGTTAACAATTCCAATTTAACTCTGGTCTTTTTCAACAAGACGTCCCAAGAGAGACCGGGGGATGAAAAATACCCCGGGGGGTCGAGGCAGTACTGTTTCGAGCACGTTTTCTGAATATCTCGAACACGTTGGCCAGCAGCAGAACATCAGTTTTCAAGTACAGGTCGTGGTAATCACCCAAATTCTTGCAGCCCAGTTTGTCCCACACATTAATCGCATGCAGGTAATCATCCGGGGTGATGGCCGAGTCGGTCAAGTTGCTGAAAAATTGGTCGTTGGGAGGTAATCTCGTCTCGTTGAACTTGGACTAATCGTCCATGTACTCGTAGTGGTAGACGCCCTTCCTCAGCAGCAGGGGTCGAGTCTCCGCGTCGGTGTATTGATTGGTGATGTCAAAGTCGTCCGGAGTGGTTGGCGTTCACCAGACTGTCTAGAGACGACAGCAGGAACTGAATGCTATCGATAAATCTCAGACCATCTAACGAGAACGAGATGTATTTTCCATGTTGTTGGGGATGCATGTTATGTTGCCGTCGACCTTCGTGATGGCCTGCATGATCAGGTGAGAATCGTAACCGCAAAGATTGTGAAACACGACGGGGATTTTGATTGTTTTGGGATCGATTTTGAGCTTCAAGTTGCAAGCGTTGTGAGCAGCACCTCTGT